ATACCTCAAAATCCATTGAACGTGTTAAAATTCCGTCGACTAAACTAAGACTACCACTTTTTTTTCAACACATCGTGTTAATGTATGCAAATCAATAATCACTAATGCCCATGCTCTTTCTATTTCGTCGCAAACTATTTTCACAATCAGTAAGATAAATTTGAATGTCTTTGACTATATTGGAAGCTTCGCAAAATTTTCTACGAAACAGATATTTCAAGTCAGTCTGGCGTATCAAGCAAATTATTAGTATTTATTGTAACACAATGGCCATTAAAAATCCATTTTCTCTGGGCATTATCGCATCTGAATCTGTCCTCTAAACAAATAGTCCAAATATTTAAAATTGCCAAGTCATTAATGTTCTGATCCCATCTCATTTGATATTTTAATAATCATAATTATTATATACATATATTGTTGAAAATCGTACAGAAAATATCGTGTATTATTCACGAACTTCTCGTATTATGTACATATTTGTCTGGGCCAAGTTTGACTCCTTTCATCACATGCTTTAGATTCATGTTATTTCATATAGAAGCAAAACTATGCATCATTTGCTTTATATCACATTAAGACTTTCTTTCATATTGAAATAATATGACTAAACATTTAAATTGTTTCACTTCCAATAATACTTCTTTGTTCTTCATCTGGAGGTTATAAAATAGCAACTTGATTTCGTGATATCAATCGTTATTACTATTAACCCTCTTTCGCGATCTATTGTTGATAAATTAAGATAATTATGTCTATAAAATCTTTTCATAACAGCTGTAATATAATTAATAACAGCGTTTTTACTTTAATTCAATAGTCCATTATATCTTGTTTCATCAACGCAATAATTTTTTATTATGATCATCTTATTTCATTCTCAATCTTATTTTTCTTCTGTTATTTAATATTTTCCAATTTGTTTTTTTTAGCATTCAGCAATTAAAATTTCTATCCAAATCTTATACATTTGAACAAATTTTACATATTCAAAGACGACACACATTTAATATAATTTAAGAAAACTACCGACACTTTACATCAACAATACAATACTTAATTTGAATAGTTTTTTGCGCGCAGATATTTAAGATTAATTTTTGTGCAACAAGAAACCCATAAACAAATAAAATTATGTATGTTCAAATAGTAGCACATACAACTAAACTATTTAATATCCGTAATTGTAGGCTTAAATAGTGGCTCATGTAAGTATATTTATAAATTGATACAAAATCGCACACCATTTTCTTAATTCTCTGGAACACGAGTTATCCTTTTATGTGATGGATTGCCATGCAAAACTTTACGAGAGGAAAGCACAAGATACAATATTATTTAAATTAAATATAATTTACTAGATAGTTACCATTTTTCAGGTTATGTTTTACGTATATTTTCTTATTTTATTTTACTCCATACCCTAATAATTCATTTTCAACAAAACAATTGCAACAACAGTTTTTCAAGATATATTTGCATTACGAGGTTCGATATTGAATTGAAAAACTGAACTTACATCAGCTAAACCTCCAATGTTACCGCTTGTACCACTAGTTTATAAAAAGCATCAGTATTGTCCTTAATCGCGTTTCCATTCAAAAACTTTTGAAAATTATCAACTTTTTAATTTAAAATTTGTTGTAGTCTTTTCTTAGATAAATCAGCGAAATTTTTACGTTTACTCATTTTATATATTCTCGGATTAAAAACAAACAATTACACTTCGATCATTGAAGAAATAATGCGGAACATGTGGGTAACATATAACCTACATGAAAAATAAAACAAGCGGTGGCCTCCAAAGAGCACCAAACACTATTCAGCTTTTGCGGTGTGCCACTTTGCACCGAAGAAGACATGGGACGCGGTGAAAGTTTATCTGTGAAATATATTTTCGTAAGTTACCTTTTTCAACTTCCCGAAGGAGAAGTTTATGTTTTCATCAAAAAATCCGAATCGCTAATTTTATGTTTTCTCGACGTTTCGAGCCATTCTGAATCGAATGAGACCAAATTTGGAAAAAGTATGTGTGTGTGTGTGTGTGTGTGTATGTGTGTGTGTGTGTGTGTGTGAACAGATTTTTTGCCGCAAATCGACGTTTTCTCCAAAACGGTTGGACCGATTTCAAAAATTTAAAAGCCATTTGATGTATCTCGATAAGGACTATCGTCTCTGAGTTTTGGGCGGCGATCGGCCGGCCGGGCCGTTTCTTTGTAAATTGCAGAAAAGTGAAAAATTTTTCGTCCACGTTTTAGCCCGCATTTCTGAATCGATTCTGAAAATTCAAAAACCGTTCGATAGATATTGGTTGGGAATCGTGCTGATTAGTTTTTGGTAAAGATCGGCCGGGCCGTTTTCTTGTAATAAAGTTTTTAAAAAAAAAATTTTGACTATTTTTATGATTATTTTTTTGACGATAGATACCATAGTTTTCTAGGCCATACTAAAATATTATGGTCCTACGACAACTGGTTCAGCTTTAAAAATTCGTCAAAGTTTGCAAAAATCAGTATGGTCTTTTTGGCATTTGTCAAAATTAGACTTTTGATCGACGTTTTCTCAAAAACGCCTGAACCGATTTTAGAAATTTAAAAGCCATTTGATGTATTTCGGTGAGGACTATCGTTTGTCAATTTTGTGCAACGATCTGCCAAGCCGTTTCTTTGTAATTTGAAAAAAAGTGTTGAACTTTTCGTCCACATTTAAGCTCATCCTACCGAACCGATTTTAAAAAATCAAAAACTGTTCGAAAGATATCATTTGGGAATGATGCTGATTAATTTTAGGTGAAAATCTACCGAGCCGTTTTCTTGTAATTAACTGTTGAAAAAAAGTGTTAAATTTTCGTCCACATTTAAGCTCATCCTACCGAACCGATTTTGAAAAATCAAAAACTGTTCGAAAGATATCATTTGGGAATGATGCTGATTAATTTTAGGTGAAAATCTACCGAGCCGTTTTCTTGTAATTAACTGTTGAAAAAAAGTGTTAAATTTTCGTCCACATTTAAGCTCATCCTACCGAACCGATTTTGAAAAATCAAAAACTGTTCTAAAGATATCATTTGGGAATGATGCTGATTAATTTTAGGTGAAAATCTACCGAGCCGTTTTCTTGTAATTAACTGTTGAAAAAAAGTGTTAAATTTTCGTCCACATTTAAGCTCATCCTACCGAACCGATTTTGAAAAATCAAAAACTGTTCGAAAGATATCATTTGGGAATGATGCTGATTAATTTTAGGTGAAAATCTACCGAGCCGTTTTCTTGTAATTAAATGTTGAAAAAAAGTGTTAAATTTTCGTCCACATTTAAGCTCATCCTACCGAACCGATTTTGAAAAATCAAAAACTGTTCCAAAGATATCATTTGGGAATGATGCTGATTAATTTTAGGTGAAAATCTACCGAGCCGTTTTCTTGTAATTAAATGTTGAAAAAAAGTGTTAAATTTTCGTCCACATTTAAGCTCATCCTACCGAACCGATTTTGAAAAATCAAAAACTGTTCGAAAGATATTAGATGGGAATGGTACTGATTAATTTTAGGTGAAAATCTACCGAGCCGTTTTCTTGTAATTAACTGTTAAAAAAAATTTAAGCCGTTTTTCATGGAACTTTTTTTGGCGATATACATCATGGTCTTATAGAACTTACTGTAATATTACGGCCTTACAACAAGTAGTTTAATTTTAAAAATTCGTCAAACTTTGCTAAAATTATTATCGTTTTTTTTTAAGTAGGATTGATGAAGTATATTATTTACACATTTTTTGATCAAGTCGATTATTTACACATATCGGGAAGTTCATGTAATTTGCCTCAAGGCTAAATACCAAACCAACTAGTTCAGGACATGGGTTGTAGTGTTTATACACTATCTGTTTATGTGATATTTATTTGCTTTGAATTCTTAGCTTCGTATGAAAAGGCCAAAAGAGCGGCGGCGGATAGTGAAGCCTCGCATAGTGATGGCCGCAAGGAAGGGGTCACCGCAAGAGGACCAATAGGATGTTCGAAGATAAGGTTGAGGAAAAGGAAGATTATTGTGAGTAGTTACTTGTATAAAAAATTTTGTATCATATTTATTTGACTAATGCTCTTGCAGCCGACACAGGATTGAATTTAATCTTAAAAACCGGGCAGATGGCAAGGAAGAAGCAGGCCATAGCTATAAAACAAAGCACTGTTGATCAAGACACTTAGGCAGAGGGACCTCTGTCTGTAGAAGCCTTGATGGAAAGATTGACACGGATAGAAAATATGTGACACATAGTTATTGTGTCTTAATTATGATTTATTCTTATCAATTTTTCAGCAGAATCTTTTCACTACTTCGTAAAGGAAAGTAAAATATATAATAATGCCTTGTAAGCGCTGTCAAGGCATTACCCTATAACAGTGTCCAGCAGGAAGAATATGAAAACATTTGTGAGAAGTTGTTCCCACTAAAAACTATAAAAAACATTAAAGACTGCGAAGTGCTTTTCCAGAATGAACTCCAGAGATATCTTATGTCACTATTCAAGAAGTCAAATCGGCGAAATATTACGCGATTATAGTAGATTCCACACCTGACATATCCCACATTGAACAACTTTATTTTGTTATCAGATATGTGAAAAAAGATGATTAGCCTGTTGAACGTATTCTCATGTTTATTGAGAATTCTGGACATAAAGCTGAGGATTTGTTAGTTGCTGTATTATCGACTCTTGAGTATTTTTATCTTGATCTTGCAGATTGCCGAAGTCAATCGTATGAAAACGCTAATAATTTATCAGGGATTTATTATTATGATTTCATGGTAATAATTTTTATTATGGTTTCAAAAACTTTACAAAATTTTGTAACAAAACTTCAAATAAATGTCACAATTTCTAAAATCATAGTAAACATAAATAATACACAGCACTACACTGAAACAACGCTCTATACAAAATATTTCAATGCACTATGCTTCAACATTGATGTCTACTACTCATTAGCCTTTTAATTACCTTGAACTTCATTGCTGTTCTTTATAGTCTTCTTGCCTTTTGCTGTCTTGGTGGCCGTTTTTTTCAATGGTTTTTTGGTTTTTTGTTCTACTTCTTTGGTCTCATTTTCTGGACTCTGTAATTTATCTTCATCTTCCTCAACTTTAGTCTCAATTTCTTCTGGCGCTGATTCTTTTAGATTTGAACCTTTTTTCCCTGGCTTCGTGCTTGCTGCTTTCCCTGCTTTCTGCTTTTTGGATTCAGTAGGCTTTGTATCAATTTTTCTTCAACTTTTCTCTTTGCGCCTTTTTTTAGCAACAGGTTTTTCAGTTTTTGCAGACTCTTCGGCAACAGTTTTGTCCTGGGTGTTTGCCTCAAATTTTTCCTTTTTACCTCTTTTAATGGTAGTTTTTTTATCATCAGAATCTTTTATTTCTTTTGTACCCTCTGAATCAATTTTTCTTTTACCACCTTTTGGAGCTTTAACTTTATCAACTTCAGTATCTTTCTTAGCTTTATCTGCCTTGACAGTTGTTTCTTTCTCACCTTTGGCTGCCTTATTTAATTTGATCAACGGCAATTCGGCATAGTTTACATTCTTCTTTGCAGATCTAGTTGGTCTTTCAACAACGCTTTCTGGCTTTTGTTCTACCTTCTTTTTTGGTGGCATAATGACACTAAAAATTATTATTTGAAAAAAGCTAATCTATATCACAATTTATTACTAATAAAATTCGGGATTACAGGCGAGAATTCATGAAATTAATAATCTTGCAAAACATGCCCCTTGTGCTGCTCATTCTATAAATTTAGTTGGAGTTCACGCAGCAGAAAACGCACCAGAAGCTGGGGCATTCTTTAATACAGTACAAATTTTATACAATTTCTTTACTGCATCGACGCACCGCTGGGAAGTCTTACAGTCTCATACTGGCAAAAGAATTGTATTAAAATCTTTATCTGCAACCAGATGGTATTTTAATGAAATAATTGAAACTTTAATTATTCGCAGAAAACGCAATTACAAGACAAGAAGCTAAAGGCGTTCGAATTCAATTGGAGCGACTTCAAACAGCATTTATGCAGATACTTTGGAATTTCTTACTTTCAAGATTCAATGCTGTAAAGCCAAAGATTGCAAAAAGTTGATAGTATGCTTTAGAACTTTCTGAAATAAAAGAATACAAAACAGTAGTTTCCAGGCAAAGAAAGAGAAAATTTGCCATGCATGCTGATGAAACGCGAGATGGAGATGTGCAGCTGTCAGGTTAAAATGATGTCAGATTTAATACTTTAAACGCAATACTTGACAATCTGCATTCTAAATTGCGTAAAAGATGCAAAGCCCATGAGAAGATTCAAGAAAAATTTTCAGTCATTATCAACTTTAGTAATTTGGATAGAGAGATTCGTGAACAAGCTGAAAGTTTAAGAAAAATATATTCTTCAGATCTCGGGTCCTCCTTAGATAACGAATTTGTGCACTTTCAAGCTTATTGTACCGAAAATAAAATGGGAAAAACACCTTCTGATCTTTTTAAACTGTACACTGAGTTTCCGAACGTAGAAATTGCTTATTGAATATTTATTACTTTAGCTTCAGCAAACTGTAGCGCAGAACGATCGTTTTCTTGTTTAAGAAGAAAAAAACTACATACGTTTTACGATGAGTGCAAATAGACTCAATAGCTTAGCAATTCTATGCACAGAATCAGATGTACTTCAATGTTTAGACTGTGAATATTTAATTAACCATTTTGCATTACAAAAAGTTCGTCGAATATGCCTGTGAAGAAAGTTCTTAGTGCAAAACATACAATGCTTTTAGTTAAAATAAATATGAATATTTTGTTATATTATTATAGTAAATAAATGCAAAAAATAGTTCTTTTAGTTTTGAAAAAAAAATGAGACATAAAAACTATTTAAGTAAAATTTCAGGGAGGGGGCGGCATTTTTGTCACTGCCCCGGGGCGCCAAATTTTTAAATCTGAGTACAAGTACAAAATAATTAGCTGAAAAAGTTATTTCAGAACGAGTAATATAATCTTTATCACATCTTCTCAAAATACACTTATTGAATCAAGTTTACCACATTCTCTCAAATTGAATTATCTGTAAATATGTTAGATTATAAGTTTAATAATATTAAACTTAATGTACTTAATATTAGTTTAATGATATTAATATTAAAGTTGTACGGTGATCACGAGTCAGATATCACTATGGGATATCTATATAGAGGCGTAATATCGATCTTAATAACACATTTTTCACTTCGAAGGCTATGCTAAAAAACGTGCAAATTAGTTTGAAATAAATTCCACGAAAATTTACATAATTGTGCAATTCGTCGATGAACGAGAAAGATCAAGATTTTCCAAGAAAATTGTTGGAAAAGTTAAAGAGTACTTGCAAAACACTATCATAGTAAGCAATGCAAATGAATAGTTACATATTATTTAAAATATTCAAATCGTTTTTATTGCGACTGCGGCGTATACTAATAAAAATATATTTTCAAAAGTTAATTTAATACAAGAATGCTAATATTACTGAAGTACCGATGAACATGTATTTGCAACTGAGATTATGAAATTAGCTGTTGACACAATTCTGACAGCAATAATGCATCAAATTTTACATTTATAATACTGATGTTTACTTACGAAAATTTGTATTCGCACACACATACATACACGCACACCCACACATACATCCTGGCTTTTGAGGCGAGACATTACAGTCCTATGGGGAAGACCTTATAAGACTGTAATGTCTCGCCTCAAAAGCCAGCCAATACCTTCACCAACTTGCCCACGTCTATTGAATAAACTAGTAACTACTTTGTTTCCACGACAACCTAATTTGAACTACCAGGTAACACATGTAGAACAGAATAATATTCCACTTATAACACTGAAAGAACTGATGGAAGCTTGTCATCGCGTTGGTAATAGCAAGGCACCGTGATTAGATGAAATTCCTAATATTGCCTTAAAAACATCAATTATGACATCTCCGACAATGTTTCTTAATGCATGTAATACATGCCTGAAAGAAGGGGTTTTTCCACGAAAATGGAAACAGCAAAGATTAGTGCTTATTCCCAAAGGAAAAAAACCACCAGATGAACCATCATCCTACCGTCCAATATGCATGCTGGATACAGCGGGTAAAATTTTTGAAAGAATAATTCACCAAAGATTAGATGCAGTAGTTGATCCAATCCTAGCAGACAATCAGTATGGTTTTTGCAAAGGGCGATCAACCATCGATGCTATAAACTTGGTAGTTAATACCGCCAAGGAGGCAATTGCTGGAACCAGATGGAAGGGGGGTTCAAAAAAGTACTGCCTTGTACCTACATTGGATATAAAAAATGCTTTCAATTCTACAAACTGGGATTGCATTATGAATGCACTCCGTGACAAGAACGTGCCAGCATACCTATGCAATATAGTCGCAAGCTACTTTACAGACAGAATTCTAATGTACCATTCACGCGATGGTACAGAAGAATATAATATAACAGGAGGTGTGCCGCAGGGCTCTGTTCTAGGCCCTTTGCTGTGGAATATTATGTATGATGGCCTTTTGAGACTAGAGATTCCAGAATGTGTGAAACTAGTAGCATATGCAGACGATGTTGCCATAGTGGTTGTCTCCAAACAAATTGATGACATCGTAAGCCTATTCGATATTACATTTAGAAAAATTAATCGGTGGATGGGAACAATGAATCTCCAATTAGCACAACAAAAAAGTGAAGCTGTTCTTATCACTAGTAGGAAAAGAATTGAGACCATCAAAAGCTAAAGATAGGAAATCTTGAGATCACGTCAAAACCTCACATCTGTTACCTTGGCGTAATGCTTGATGCTCGTTTGAATTTCAATCAACAGGTGGAACACGTTAGTGCTAAGGCGTCAATAGTTAGGACGAAACTTGCTCGACTGATGCCTAATATTGGAGGTCCTAAACAAACCAGAAGGATATTACTATCGTCAGTTATTACTTCGGTGCTGACATATGGTATCTCCATATGGGCTGATGCTCTTAAATCTCAAAAATCGAGGAGAATGGCAGGGCCCTTATATCGTCTCAGTGCTATAAGAATTGCTTGCGCATTTCGCACAATATCGGCGGAGGCAGTGTGCGTCATTTCAGGAACTGTGCCTCTCTTAGTCTTAGCAGAGGAAAGACGGACAATTTACCATAGAAGATATCAACAACTGTGTCCTGAAAAGCTGAGATTAGAAGAACGGCAGAACAGCATTGACCGATGGCAGCAACTGTGGGATGTCGCAGTAAAGGGCAGATGGACGCATCGTCTCATTCCTAACATCAAAGTCTGGCTAAGTCGCAAGCACGGCGAAGTAAATTATTATACTACGCAAATGCTATCGGGGCACGGCTGTTTTCGAGCCTACCTACACCGATTCAAGCACGATAGCTCGCCGGATTGCCCATATTGTTTGGGCGAAATCGAAGATGCTGAGCATGTGTTCTTCGTGTGCCCGCGATTTGGTGCTCTACGGGATGACGTGGAAGAGACATTGGGACGCAGAATTACCCCAGGTAATGTTGTTGAAGTGATGCTGACAAGTGAAGCTGCTTGGAACGCCATAGACAGATTTGCGAGAGACGTTTTAATGGACCTGCGTTCTATAGAGAGAGAAAGGGCGAATGGGACTTCGCCCATTTAAAAGATAAGTATAATGTTTATGAATTTTAACTTTGATTATAACAAGTTAAGAAGTTATATCATTCTAGATCCTCCCCCCACGAACTAATGCCTAATGGCGGTTTCCGTGGGGACCAGAGGCAGGGGCAAAGCGGAGGTTTTAGTCGGTATTATACCAGGGCGGTATCGAGTCCGACATACCCAGACAGAAGACCGGTCTGGGATGCATAAAAGCATTTCCTTCGCTATACAAAAAAAAAAAAACTAGTTGGTTTGGTATTTAGCCTTGAGGCAAATTACATGAACTTCCCGATATGTGTAAATAATCGACTTGATCAAAAAATGTGTAAATAATATACTTCATCAATCCTACTTAAAAAAAAAACGATAATAATTTTAGCAAAGTTTGACGAATTTTTAAAATTAAACTACTTGTTGTAAGGCCGTAATATTACAGTAAGTTCTATAAGACCATGATGTATATCGCCAAAAAAAGTTCCATGAAAAACGGCTTAAATTTTTTTTAACAGTTAATTACAAGAAAACGGCTCGGTAGATTTTCACCTAAAATTAATCAGTACCATTCCCATCTAATATCTTTCGAACAGTTTTTGATTTTTCAAAATCGGTTCGGTAGGATGAGCTTAAATGTGGACGAAAATTTAACACTTTTTTTCAACATTTAATTACAAGAAAACGGCTCGGTAGATTTTCACCTAAAATTAATCAGCATCATTCCCAAATGATATCTTTGGAACAGTTTTTGATTTTTCAAAATCGGTTCGGTAGGATGAGCTTAAATGTGGACGAAAATTTAACACTTTTTTTCAACATTTAATTACAAGAAAACGGCTCGGTAGATTTTCACCTAAAATTAATCAGCATCATTCCCAAATGATATCTTTCGAACAGTTTTTGATTTTTCAAAATCGGTTCGGTAGGATGAGCTTAAATGTGGACGAAAATTTAACACTTTTTTTCAA